AGCTTCTCTGCTCCCTGTAAAATTCAGAATGGAATTCAAAATCCTTCTCCTTACGTCAACAAAGCCCTTAATGACTAAGCTCCATCATATTTTAAAGAGCTCATAGTTCCCTTTTATCCCAACAGAACACTCTGTTCTGTAAATGTAGGCCTACTTGTGGTTTCTAGAGTTACTAAGACTAAAATGGGAGGCACAGCCTTTCAGCCATCAGGCTCTTCTCCTGTGGAAGCAGCTTCCAGTTTGGGTTTGGGAGGCAGACACCCTCTCTACGTTTAAGATTAGGCTTAAAACTTTCCTCTTTGATAAAGCTTATAGTTAAGGCTATCTCAGGAGAGCTCTGAACCATCCCTTAGTTATGCTGCTACAGGCCGAAGCTGCTGGGGGAACTCCCATGACGCACTGAGCACTCTTCTTCTCTCCCAAATCTCTCTTTCTCCCTCTCTCTCCCCCTATGCATTTATATCACACTACTGCATGTCATTAACTTTGTCTCTTCTCCCTCAATTGTCTTGTCTTCATTCTGCAGGGATCGCTGACTCTAGAGCTGCAGGATCCAGGTCTACAACTGCGAAGTAGTAGAGTAGAGCCACTACTAATTAACAAATAATTTTTCATTGTATATCATTATTATTCTTACTAATTGGTGCCACAATTGGTGCCCCCCCCCCTTTCTCTTCTCCATTTCTCTCCTCTCAGCCCAATCCGGTTGAGGCAGACAGCCAACCACCCTGAGTCTGTTTTGGTTTCTTCCTGTTAAAAGGTTTTTCCTCTCCACTGTCGCCAAGCGTTTGCTCATGGTGGGAACTGTTGAGTTTTTCCTCTATAATACTAAGAAGTCTTCACCTTACTCTGTAAAGTACCTTGAGATAATGTATGTTATGATTTGGCCCAATATAAATAAAACTGAATTGAATTAATCCAAGCTCACAGGAAGATCTAACTTAGCCAGATAGATAGGTAGCATTAACAGCTTTGTTGAGCTAAGGCTCTAAAGCTAAACATGCTTAGTAACTGTGTCAGTGTACTACAACAGTGTATTTACAACAGCAGCCTTTATTTTGTTTGTTCAGAATTACTTTGGCATTGTTGTTGAGAGATAACAGGAACTAAATGGTTAAACCTGAGGCCTATACTAAGTAAGTTCAACATACCAAGGATAACTTGTCCTTATCTAAAATATTGGCCTGGATAACCTGTACTACAAAACTAGTTATCAACTGGCTCAGTTAACTCAGGGTTTACCTGTCTGGCTATGGGCACGTTCATGTGAAAGAGGCAGAGTTTTTAATTATAAGCAACATCGTTAAAAACCATGAATAAAGTGCTTAATATGATATGAGAAGAAATGCTGATATCTGCTTGTAAATTTGGTTCTAGCAACATCCAAAAGTAATATTCAAGGAAATGCAAACAATATGATCACATGACTAGAAAAAGAAAAATTAGAAATAATTTTCAATGATGAAAGTCAGACTGAAAGCTATATTGTAAATAAGTGTATATGAATTATCATTAGCTTCTTACTGAGTATTTTTCCTATTTTGTCTGATGATGATCAAACTATAAAGACTAGCAAAAAAAAACTGTGATGAGAAAGAAAAGAAACAAAGTAGTTCATGTCTGATGAGGTCAACCTGACTGAAATATTCATTTATAATCATGAGAAATATTCAACAGAGAGTGGATAATTTTTCTAATCAAAGTCATCAGAGGGTTTCGTTTTCATTCCCAGTTCTGGTCTCCGCATGTTACTCTGAGCAGCAGGGTAAAACATCAACACTGTCAGGAATCCTGTCGGGATGAAAGCATCTTTGTTCAGTTAAAATGAAGCTATAATAGTTATTGTGAATTTATTTGATGTGACAAACTCTCCCTGCATTTGTTAGAAGCTTTGTTTTAAAACCAGAGTGGACACATGGAAAGACTCAATCACCAAAACGATTCCACCATTTTACAAAACAGTCTCCTCCTCGTTATTATCTGTCGCTTGTGATTGCAAACTCTTTTGTTCCTGTCAGGATCCTGTAGGAACAATGATTCAATTTCTCCTGGTATCTGATTGGTCAGTAGTTCTTTGACAAGTTTCGATAGGGTGGTGGATAACATTATGAAATAAAACTTGACATGAAAGAAACGTGTTATTGGGGGAAAAAAGCCTTTATGAAATATAAGCAGAGAGGGTATGTTTAAATAAAAATGTCTATAATCAAGTAAAATGTTATCCAATAACAATTATGAAAGTGAATGATAAAACAACATTCCATAATAATGAGTTGAGATTAATTATTGCTTCATTTTGATATTTTATTCAATTTTCAACTTATTTAATATTGAACAATTTAGGCCCTCATACAACTCCAGTCTCTGCTGTTTGAATAGATGATAGAGATTGAAATAGGTAAATGTTCGCTCTCCATGGTCCTGAATTATTAGAAATAATTATGCTTTAATGGTACCAGATATTGTTGCAATCTAAATGAATGTCTTCATCTCTCCGAGTCAAAAGCAGTAAATTCCATGGTTGACAACATGGCACCAGCTCTACAAAGCCCACGCTCTTGTTCTTGTGCAATAAATTGTGGATGAATGAGGCTTTGCAATGAAATCCATCACCCAGATGGGGAGGGCAAGGTCACCTTACAACTGATTGAAACCTATTTCTTCAAATGAATGAATGAATGAATTGTTTGAACATAAAGACTGCATAATGCATGCCATGCTAATATCCCAGCAAATTCTACTTGCAGTGTGGTCGAATGTTAAATGATGATTGGACAAGACATTAGACATCATAGCGATGTCTAATGTCTTGTACTGATCATAGCGACAGTATAACCACTCTCACTGGCCAAGACTTTCTTTTACTGCCACACTTGGAAAAATATTAATATTTCCAACAGATCTATATATAAAGTAGCTTTTAACATTGAATCCAAATAATGTATCACACAATTGACCCCTTGAGACCCTAAAGAGATCACTGGACAAATGCATGAAAGCTTTGGTTTCAGGGTGAAACTTTAATCTGGTCTTCTCTGGTGACCTAGGTCTAAGCGATGGAACTCGAGAGTACACAGCACACATAAATCATGCATAAAACATGCACATGGCCCTATAACCCTGGGTGAAATGGTTCCTTGAAAGCAGCAGCAGCAGTAGCAGCAGATAAATGAGGGCTCAGGTAGACATGGTGAAATACCCCAGCAGGATTCAAATGTGACAGCGAGAGATATGAGGGGGAGATTCATCACAAGTGGACTTGTCGTTGGAGGAGAAGGTTTAGATCTGGATGGCCTTCTAGTTCTGACCTGTCCCCAACTCTCACATGCATAAAGAATTACAGGAGGAGGGTCCCTGATGTAACCTCAAGGATATTCAGAAGATATACACGACAAGGACAGGGGCAGGTGGCACAGATTTTTGCACAGTGAGGAACACAAATGAAGGGCTATGTTCTGTTAACTGGAAGCTGACTTTATTTATTTGTTGGATGCACTGATGGACAGACTGGTTTTTGGCAGTAAAAGAGATCCATAACCTTTAGTAAGAGGACAGGGTCCCTACTTTATTCTATTCTTGTTTTCTTGCCTGCATCTTTAATGTTTTAAATATCCTCAGATATAGGTTATTTCCTTTATTTATTTATAGTAAAATGAGATTACTTTTCCTTCCCTTTCATTTCATTATTTATTTATTTATTTATTTTTTTTTTTAAAGGTGTTTGGTTAAATTATGAAAAAATAAACAATATTATGATCATCCTGTTACTCAAAAATGTGTGAATGAGGTGTCTAAAATCTCCTCTACTAATCTTCCTCTACTGTCAAACCATAAACTTTCCAACATTTTGGATTTAACTGATTATCAATATCTTAAAAAATCTCAAGACAGTTGTATTTAATTTCATTATTATAATGTTCCTTCCTTGAGCTCAATCAGTGAAGCTCTGCCTCTTTGGCTTGCAGTAAAATACAATATGTGGGGTATAAAGCTCTATTCTGCTAATGCTTTAATGATCCCCACAGGGAAGACTTCTTTTTCTTTCCTCTTCCACACTAAGGTCAGAGGTCAGGGTCAGCTACAGAGCAGCTTCCCTGGAGGTGGAATCCAATACATCCATGTGTGGAAGGGGAGTCATTGTTCTTCTCAGGGTTTGGCTGAAGGGCTTTAACTTCTCCCCACTTGAATGGTGGTCCCTGCCCCCCCCCCCCCCCCCCCCCCAACAGTTATGGCGCACATGTTAGTTAAGATCGGATCAGCTGCTGCCTAAGTGACCCCCCTTCAGTCCCCTAAGGGCGTTTTGAATGGAAGTGGCTCTGGGTGCACCCACGCAGAGGAAAAGAGGGTGAGGCCTGGGGAAGGCAGTCCAGCTGTGTCCATCAGAGACCAGCACCTGAAGAGCACAAGATCCTCCATCCCAACCTGCAGGTAGGAGCTTCAACTCCTTAATCTTTAGAGCAACGTGTTTTTCTGTGAAGCTGGTTAGAAAGTGCAATAGCTTGAAGTGCTGCTGCGAAGCGTTAAACGTGCACTGACAGGATTATTGTCACTTGGTTTCTTCAAAGTACCAAAATAGAGATTGACTGATTACATAGTGCATCTGCTGTGTGTCAGTATTTATTACATTATTCCAAGATGATCTGTTTGATTTGAATGATGGGAATCGCTATTAAGGGTTTGACAACAAATATTCACTAAATGCCTCTTGACGCAAATCTTTGTCTCATGTGATAAAAGAAAGAAAAAAACACTTTCATGGTTTTATTTGTGGCATGAAATAACGTCGTTCCCCCCATACTGTGCAATGGCAGCGTAACAAACAGCAGACACCATCATGACAGACATTCTGGGCATTCATCTTGGGCAGCTTTGGAGACTCCAAATCAGCTGCGAGTCCATGGCGTGCGTCATTGCGCAGCGGCGCGTCCAGCCCATAGCGGTTAATGAGAATCCGCTGACAGAGCACAACCAGTTGTTTGTACGGGCATTTGTATGCGCGGATCAGCAGGTGCTTGTCCTTAAAACAAAACTGGATGGAAGTCTCGATTACGACCACACCGATCTGAAGGAAAACTCTTGCCTTACGGACTCTTATTTTGCAGGATGCGCTGACATACATGACATGCTCGCGGCGATCGGCAGTTACAGGTAAAGTTCAGGTTTAAACTTAATTGCTCTGGGTGATTTTTAAAATTTAAAATTGTGGTAGAACCTGTTCTTGTTTGCTGCGCCTCAAATGGAGACGTATGTTTTGTGTTTTCGTGCGCTTTTTTTTTTTTCTCACGAGCGCGTCTCTAGAGCGTGCCATCTACTGCAGGCTGGATACCAAAGTCCGCTGTGCATTTAAACTTTAAAGTAAAGAGTGATCTTTTTTTAAAGTCCGACAATCTGTAAAAAAAATGTTACTGCGTAGTCAACAATTCCAGGCTTATCACGCCGCTACCTACCAGCCAAATGCATGGATTGTGTGTGTGTGTGTGTGTGTGTGTGTATGTGTATATATACCCACGCGCATCAGTGCGTGTGCGCGTCTCCTTTCCTAAATTGTGTTGCTTTCAATTAATTTCGGCTCTGGAAGCTGCTGGTGCGTAGATGATGCTCTTTCTTAATGTGAAGGGGGTTAGGAGGTTAACAAGTGTTTGCTTGACCACGCAAGCCGTTTAATCGTTGATTGATTTTTCCCTTAGGCCATTTTTTGGACACTGTGATCAGTTTATAATAGGAAGAGTATTCAAGTGCTCCTACTGTGGTCAAGCTAATAGAGCAAACTGCAACCTTTAATTGGGCACAGGGGTGATTTTAAGGATGACAGTTATGAAAGTGACAAGAAGGTGAAGGTCAGGGATGAATTTAATAGAAACCCCTCAGGGTGCTGTGTCTTTATAGGCAGTGGAGGATGTTACTGGGATACATAAATGGTGAATTTATCAAAGTTAACCTATTACAGCCTGTAGACATTTCCAAGCCATTATATCCAAGTGTATTAGATGCCTCTTATCAATGGTGATGCTTACTTTGGCCACTATTTACCCAGCAGCTCCGCATTAGATAAAAACAGTTAAGCTGTCAAGTCAACAGAAAAAATGCTCCCAGCAATGCTATGACTCCACTGCGATAAAAACAGTAATTAAAATCACGCTAATGCTCCGTGAAGCCTTATGGTGAGTTTCCCTGAGTCCTCCTCTAATTTGTCGAACTATATTTACCACAGCGATAATGCCTGTAATCAGCAGAATAAGCCCAGATTGTAATGCAGAGTTAATTTGTGCAGATTTTTGTTCACTCGTTGGGTATAAACTGCCAGCTGTCTTTCAGATATAGCTCTCAGCCGTCACAAGAAGGCAAAGGAAGGGAGAGGAGTGAGATTTACATAAGTAGAGAGTTGTGTGGAGATAATGGAAAGGCTCTCTGTTATCACCAAAACTCCAGAGCAGTGCGTGGTATTTTCTTTTCCCTCTCACATGGACAACATAGATGGATTAAAAAAATGTCAGTCTTAAACAACACATTGAAGTATTGGCACGGCTGTGCCTTAGTGAACATGTGCCAGCATTGTCTTCATTTTTCAGTTTTCTCTCTCCGTATTGATTTTGTTGCTCTCCCCTCTTGCTTCTTTTACCTGCTTAGTGACTGCTTTCTGTGGTCCAGCTAAATGGGAACATTGCCCCATGTCACTGAAATGGGCATCTAATGATTCATCTCAGCCGTTTGACTCAGATTTTCTGGAGCTCATCTCTTATGTCAGACCTTATGTTTTTTGTTTTTATGCAGAGTTATAATTTAGACTGGCCAGGTTTATTTGCAGTGCAGGTGCACCCTGGCAGCACTTTGAGTCCATTTCTGGCTCATGTCTAATGGGACTTTGCCTTGACTCAGTAGCACAGTGTCATGTGTCATCAGTAATGTAATCTGATGGCACAAGTCCTCCTGGTATTGTCCCTTCACGAGCTGTCACAGTGTCCAGATGCATCTTCAGATCAACTGGTTTCCCTCAGGCTTTACTTCTCAAGGATTACATGTGATAGAAATATGGCCCAGAGGCCTTGTGCTGAAGGACCATGGAAGCTCTCAAGCAGTCATATACTGTAGGTTAAGTTTCACTGGACTTTGAGTGAGTCCAATGCACTAAAATGTCTTGAAATTAATCTGTACTTGTCCACCGATCAACTGAAGCTGATCTGCAAAACAAACCTGCTCAAATCTAAGCCACACCTTGTTAACTGTTCCACATCAAGAACATCTTTGGCACATACTCCAGTTCTCCTCTAGAAATCTTTAGGGACATATCTATGGTGACTTGTAAATGGACGAGAAACATAAGAGACAGAGTTGTTAGAGCATGAATTGCTCGCAACTGAGCTTCTTCAAAGCCATTTCAAGGCCACATGGAGCCTGTATAAAGTAGTAGCCTATACCAAAACCCTCGTCTTTTAACTACCCTACTAATGGGACGACCATCAATATTAAGGATTTTATCATCTGCAAAACTATATAATACAGTGCCCATGTAGTATAGTATACATACAGTAGGTGAGACATCCTGTTCTCTCAAAGAGCCTATCACAGAACACAGGAGCTCTATCAAAAGGGATGATGTAACTACTCCTGCTGCAAGACACTTCAATGAAATGAAACACCCCATTTCATCTGTGTTTTCTATAGGCAAGAGAAGTCATTAAGCCCAGCCAAGGACGTAGTAATGCCAATTCTCTCAGAAAAAAGACGGAAGCATTTTGGATGTTTTTTTTTTTAATCTCAAAAGCTTATTTCCAGGAGGCATGAATGAGTCCTTCTCAATTAATGAGTTTTTATAGTGGTGTTTTGTGACTTCTTCAATATGTCCAAATCCCTTAATTATGCGCTTTTATAATGTCATTGTTGGTTCTCTTATTTATTATTGTTAAGAAATCCTAGCTTATAGCACTTTGAAAACACAAAGTGGCACATTTTGGGTAAAAACCTCCTCTATGTCAGCTTGGGCACCTCTCCATAGATGAACCTCTGTTTATAGATGAAATACAGTGTCACTCACTCACCATGAATCTCATCAATGAAAACTATGACAAAAATATTTAACAGCCTATTTCACCATGAAACCGAGGTTAATGTTACCATTATTTACACATAAACGTTTCACTTTAGTTGTTTCATACTCATTAAACAGTTCTTTGTAATGTGTTATATGATGAGGGTCTCACAGAAAAAGCTGTTATTTATGTTACAAGTGTGGCCTATCCATCTCTTCTGATTCCTCCTGATCATTCTCACCGTCGTGATCACTGCTGTAATTGCCAGCCTGCACACTGTTGTATGTTTGAGCAGCAACATTGCTAGCTCATCCCAATAATAATGCAGAATGATGGACCCTAGAGACCTGTCTGGGATGATGAGGAATAGAAGTCACTCAGAGCCTGAAATGAAGCTTCTAAACCCGCAGATGAAAACAAGGGGGGAGAGACTTTCGCCTAGATGAAATCCACAGAGTCCTTAATGTTTCTATGAGACACTACCATGGTGTGTTGGAAAGAGAAAAGGAGACGGCACAAGAAAGAAAGTGAGACTGAGGGGGTGTCCGTCGGGAGGTGAGCTGAGGAATACATAGAGTTGAGATACTTTTACATAATAAAAATGTTGGTTAGACTGTGGCAAGAACCTTAAAGACCCTACACTGACAACATCACTGGGAGACTTTGATAACAAAGATGAAACTATTCTAGCACAGAGTGAAACGCTCCATTACTCTGTTCCATCACTCTCACATTAGTGATTCTGTTAGAGCTATTTTTGTTCCAGTGTACTTGTGGAATCGCCAAAGAAATTTTAAAGATCCAAAAAAAAAAAGGAAGCTGGACTGAGGTTTGGACGGTCTGGATGTAAGGAAGAATGCCTTGATATTGTGTAAAATGTTAACTTTTGTTTTGACACTCATGATAAAAGATTGTATTCATCCTTGTAGTCTTCCTTATTAGCACAATTATCCATTTTTGACGTCAGATATTCTCTTTTTCTTTCTGTCTTCTGTCACCTAATTGTAATGTATTGTCTTTACAGCAGCATGTCATGTGGCTGCTTAGTCCTGCTGACTGACACTTCGAAAAGGACCCTGATCACTTTGATTATAAGAGTTACGAGAATGTGACAGGAGGCCTGGGCTGTTTGAAGTCCATTTTGGTTTTGATCATCTCTTTGTTCACCTTTGTTTCACTACCAGACTGGATGGGTCAGATACAGGTGGAAAATGATTTGTCTGACACCATTTCAGGCCGGTGACTGTCTCATTAACTGTTGAAAAAAATTGCACTGGAAGAGTTCAAGCTGTTTGATGATCCAAGCTGATTTTTTGATGGGAACTGCTAGTTTATGGTCCTGCTAAAAACACTGGTAGATGAGACAGGAATCTCCTAAACAGAACATCCTGCCCTCACTGAAAAACATAAACCATAAGCTGATGAAGCCAGCTTATAATGAACATAGCAGGATATAACTATCAAAAGGTATGCTTACATGGAGCCTAATATTCAGATTATAATCACTGTAAAAGATCAAACAGAATAAAAATGCTCCAAACAAATCCTAAATCCATTGCAGAAACCAATCAAAAGAAAACCTCCATCATGTAAAACATCATCAATAAATTCAGTGTTTTCCTACCAGTTGCATTCTATCATGACGGGCTGCTGACTCAGGTATTGTTAAAGCAATCTATGTTTCTTTACAGATAAATGATCCTAAAAACTGTTTAATTTGGGGAAAATGAAAGCACTGCTAGCAAATTGGTATTCATTACTGGCAGGTACACTAAGTTATGGGTTCAGTATCTGTAAAGGAAAAGATGGATTTGTGGATTGTGAAACCCTGGACGTAAAGTGACAAAAAAAAGAGCAATGAAAACATGTAGCCATGGACTGAGTCCAGCATCACTTTCTGTTTGTACCTTGTGCAATGTAAAATGTGTACATAACAAACATATGTACTACTGTGTACATATATTGTATGTAATGCAATATGACATGGCAAGGAAAAGTAGTGTCCTACCCTTTATCTTTCATAGATGTGGAAATAGGCGTTTTTCACAGAAAACCTTTGACTCGTGACAGTAAAACAAGCACAGGTGTACATAATGAGACTAATGATGTCTCTGTAAGCTAAGTTGGTGAGCCAGCATGCACAGCAGAGCCCTGCTGTAATGAACTATAGCCATAATTAATGTTATTAGTTGCACCTGTGCTTTTCCAGCAATGACATGTCAAAATATCTGCTGTGAACAAGGCCTGTTATTGCTATGGAACATTACTACTACTACTGGCTGAAGACTAAACTACTGACTGTTTGTTATGTAGATAGAGTAGGAGAGAATATGTGAGCAAGGAAGACGTTTTGGACACAGCCATGGTTTGTGTGTTGGTCTATTGTGTTTTTATTCACATTCTTTTTTTTTTTTTTTAGCACTGTTAGCTAGCTAGCTGACAAGCTAAGAAGCACTTTAAATACGAGAATAACAATGTAGCTAGGTTGTTAAATGATGCTTTATCTTAATATGTGGAATGCTTACTTGTTTTTACTGGTTTGTAGCTTGTGCCACATGTGTTGGCATACAAATACAGTGTTAACATGTTTTGTTGTTAATGTGACAGTGATGGTTAGCTACCCAAGTGATGATGTTCTTCCCCTGCTGTAGCAGCTTTGGTGCTCACCTGTTAAAGTCAGTTTCTTAATGCAGGAAACACTCTCCTGTTGTATAACGTGGGTTTATGAAATGCAGGTTACAATGACAACCAAAACATTGCCGTTCAGTAAGCCATGGTTATGAAGGGAAAAAATGGGAATAAGTGAATTTCGGTGTGGACTTGCATTTTGGGGGCCACAAAGGTTGATATGCTATTGATGTGACTCATCCATGATGCCTGGGATAAGTACCTTGAAGAGCAACAAAGGAGAGAAAGCCCAGAGAATTAGATGAAGTGACTCAGTTCTGCCTGAAATATCTTTTTATATTTGGTGCTGCCCTTTTCAAGTCAGCTTAAAATCAAATTGTCAGTAGTTAGAGTCACAGCTGAAAGACAGGCTTCACTTTCGAAGACTGTTATCCATCCTCCCACATTGGAGCGTCCTTCATCAGGATGGTCACTGAGCTTGGGCGCATGCCAGGACAGATTTAACAAACAAACATGGGCTGAAGAGTGGAGATATCAGTGCATGAGCTCTGCTTAACCCGGGGAAAAATCATGGTCTCATCTCCTAAAATAACAAATAAGCAAATTTGGTACTTTGAAGACTTGGATTAAAATAGTGATAGTCAACAGTCAGTTCTTTATATGGATGCTTTAGAAGTGTGTTTTGGTCAGAGGCTGTGTACTGTATAAGTGCAATAAGGCCACAAAGGCTCGTCTGAAAGTTGTGTAATTAATTTACTTTTGATAAAAGATCAAAAGGTTTTCCACAGACAGTGACAGATGAATCCAATTACACATGATAGACAAAAAATAAATTATGTAGCCTAGAATTCTCATTTACTGTCCGACCCATCACATCTGCTCCCTGAGTAACTAGGGCATATACTACACACAATGAGACAAACAATCTTATGTTCAATATTTCTTTATGATGGCACACAGGTTTTTAAGCATACCCCCGATTACAGTGTGCTGTAATGTACTGACTTGGTTCTTTGAATACAGTTCAATTGCATATACAGATAATCATTTAGTGTAGTGATGAAAAGGATGAATAGAATTTCTAATGCATGTACGTAAAGTGTTTAACATGCAAATAGTAGTTTCTAATTTGTATTTGAAGGAGCAGGAAAATATCTTAATGTATTTGGTATTAAGATAATCAAAGCAGCTGGATTTCTCATAAGTGAGAATCCATCTTGCCAGGGTCCAAGGTTCGGACCATCAGCGCCCTATGAGAGAGGAACCATTGGCAGCTACAGACAAGTGACTGTTCTGGTATTCATAAGAGAACCATTTGCTGACACGCTAACTAGATTCCACTCGCAAAGCTAAATAGCTTTCAAAGCTCCTCAGACTGTGGTTTGTTGTGTTTCCTCTTTAGCGCTCTCCTATATAGACAGATGTAATAGACAGATAGTTCCAATCACCTGCTATGTATTTTTTGAAAGCACCTGCTCTTTTCCAAACAGTTTCCAACAAAGACCTTCCCAGATGGTTCTGTGTAGCCATCCATGTGATGCATAAAGGTTAGCAATAAGCTCTGTATTTTTAGTAAAAAACACCAAAATAACTTTTCCACTAACTAATTTGCAGCCCATTTTATACTGTTTGGGCAGAGCATAAACCAGTGCATCAGTCCTAAAGTAACCCTGCTATTTTTTTTTTTTTTTAACATTCCTTATGGAGCTTAAATCACTCTGAAGTGGTGCATTTTTGGGTACAAATGGAGTACATTTGCTCAGTCTGCTGTGAATGACAGATCAGCGAAGAGGTGTGTGCAGTAGAATATGATAACTGATGTTTTTTTCTTTCTACTGCACAGTACTGCAAAAAAATATTGTATTAGCAATAGCTCTAAATTTTAAAAGGGGTTTTAATTATTTTACATGAGGGTGATTTCCTGTATTACTCATTTACTGACTTTGCTGGAATAGCACACACAGTCTGTTAGGCTAGTTTTTAGATGTGGGCTCTCACAAGGGAAAAATAGCTGTCATGCTAAAATTAATTGTGTTACCTGTTGTTTGATCACTGAGTCTATTAAACCTGGGTGTTATTCGTATGTGAAATCCTGCTCTTTTAATATATTCTGTGGTTGCAGTATGTTGTAGATTTCATTCTCTTATTTCTTTCTGTCTGCACTTGTATTCTTTTTCTACATTTTGCTCATGACTCATAATGCAGGACAGCTGAATGAGCATGACTTCAGTAGTGAGTGAAAACATCAAACATCCCTGCAATTCTGTCAGGATCAGTCATGTCATCATTCACCGCGGTCCGTTCGCCTGTGACAAAACTGACAGCAAAAACAGCAACAGTGTGTAGGCCATACTGTATCTTTGCAATGCTTTCTCCATTTATGACCAAAGTTGGTCATAGGTCAAGCATGTAGACGAGTCCTGATTGTAGCTATGTGCAATGTGCTCTGCTTGATGCGTGCCCACTTGGCTACAAAACCTGTAGCCTGTAACATTGAAAATAATCTAAAGAATATCAGGAATTTTAACTGTATTTTGTCACTGTAATATATATGTGTTATGTTATACATGTCAATTACGTAGACTACCATGAGTACAGCACATAAAGTCATTATTGGTGTGGTGGTAAATTCCGTTGTCAGCTGTACAGTCGTGATGCCAAGGTGTGTTACCAATTACACTGGATGTTTTTCAAGAAAAGACATGTCAGCTCAATAGCTGCAGATTAGAAGTGTTACCTCTGGATGCTGCCACCCTCATTAATGTTATCAGGTTCCCTTTAGGCATTGGGTTTAAATCTGAGATATCGCCACATAGATGCTTTGCTTTTCACTTTCACACCAAATCCTCCACCACTGTCTTGTCGGTCAACTCTCCTCTCATCACAGGATAAAACACTGTCTGTGGTGCAACTCTGCTCTGCTGATGCCCGGAGCAGACACTTTCAGTATAACTAGTACTGATAACTAGTGTAGTTTTTCACTTGATGTCCGTGGGCGATACCACTGATACACAAAAATGAACCAAATGGATTTTATGTCCATAAAAAAATGAAAAAATACAGTGGGGCCTGTGGGCAAGTTATGTAATTGTTGTGTGCCCGTGTAACCCCAGTAACAAAGACTACTGTGGCAACCATGTTGTATTTACCCCTAGCAGTGATAATGCCTCATCTTAAGTGCTGCAGAGCCATGCACTTAGTGTTATGTAACCAGACCTGTAGCCATAAAGGTAACATCACCACCAAACAGGTCTCACTGCAAACCTTACATCACTGTAAAGCTACTTTTTAACACCACAGCCAGAGAAGTTTGCTTTCAACTTGACATTAAATATTTCCTTAGCCCAGCTTGCTGTCCACGGCACTCAGGGCTCCTTGTTTAAGTCATTCTGGTCTCTTAAGGTATTCGGCCTGCTTTTATCTTAAGAGAGGCAGCGAGGGAGGGAGCAGGAACAAGAGGTCTCTCTGAAGGAATCTGCAATATGCTTTATTACTTTTCACCCAAGTCTGGAACTCTGTGCCAGACTCAGAGTAGGGGTGAAGTCATTAACAAGAGGTCATTAGGCTGTTGAGAGAATGTCTCTCGGGTATGTCAGTACTGTAAATGGCTGCAGTGTGATTTAGAAATACGCCCAGATTGTCCCATGTTTCCGTGTCTGTGAAAGAATCTGTGAAAGATAACCAAGTGGCACAGAGAAACCATTGTTACCTTGGTGATAGATATCATCTCAGTAGAAAAATATTTTTGGAATTGTAGACTGTAAAGATTAAAAATAGGAAAGGGGTCACAGACCACCTGTGATGCCTGCCAGCGGAGAAAAGAAGATTTAGAAGTCACTGGTCCAGTAAAAGTACAGTGTTGCATCTTTGTTAGGATGCACTGGACAATATTGCTTTCAAAGGGAGAAAAATCCTTTTTATCTATAGCTACTCTCATCACATCTAAATTGCATGTTTTCTATGTGCTCTTTTTGCAGATAAACTCCACCTGGTGTCTCCACTCCTTCAGCAGCCATGGCTTTCTCCATATCTGGAGGGACCGCGTTCACCATTCTCCTCATTTGCAGGTAAGACCGCTCACAGAAGGAGAAATACAACCGCTGGGATGTGTAGCCACACAGCTATCTTAACGGGCAAGAAGCATAATCAAGTCGTGTCAGATTGTAATTTGTAATAACACCAGAGCATTGTATGAGGATAGAGAGAGGTACTCAGTTGTATCATTTTCTTGTGAACCATCAATACTCAATAACAACTCCCCATGCATCAGACAAGAAGCATTGAAATTCCATCGCCACGTTCATGACACTGCTGAGCAGAAGCGATGAGGCAGGATCCAGCACCACATGCATCAGTCATTGCATACAATTGGTGTTATAATCCCTGCAGAGGTCATACGGAGAGAATGATGGGATGTTTTGGTGCACATTTGTCTGTTACCGTGAAGAGAAGCCTCTCCTCTTCTTACAGTTTATTTTCAAAGCACAGAATGCACTTTGCACATATTAGATAAGGCAAACCCTCTGGGTCCCACTGAATCCTGCTATAAGATATTCTCTGTTTAGTGCAGGGCCTCTTTGCACAATCAGCTCTGGGATTAATGTGCTGTAGCAGGTTGCCTGCTACACTAGTATGTTGCCAAATGCATCTGCTTTCAGTGTAGACGCAATATGCAAGATTTGGGTCATTCAAGCATCAAATGACTTAATTTCATGAATCTGTGAGCTTTCAAAGATCCCATGCAGATTACTTTTACATTGATCATTGTTGTGTTTGAGTGAACTGTCTATGTGTAATGACACTGCATCCACTGCACTGTGGACATCAAAGCACTGAAGCTTGTCAGTCAAGGCTTAGAAAGGCATAAGAATATGAATTTGTACAAAGCATCTTGCTTGTCAATTTATCAGTGCAAAAATGTGATATTATTTTTGAAAGAATGACTTTCAAATGTAACTTTAGCTATCTGTCTATCTACCTCTCTTTTTATTTATTTATGTAGCTATGCTATTTGCTAGCCGCCAAGTTCTGCAGACTCATTACCCAGTAGATACCCAGAGATATCTCAGAAGTAGACATTGTTTTGGGTCCAAATTATATTCAATCTAATGAGCTGGGGTAGGTTCCCAATGCCCATAGGTCGATGACTTACGCCAATTCAAGCAGACTCGTTCTCAGCACTGAGGCCATTCTACATAATAACTGCATGAAAAAAGCACGTTTTATTTTTATGTGAGCAAAAGGTAAAAAGCATGAAGTACAGGGCAAATGATGTGTATTGCTGCTCTTTTGCCAGAGCAATGATTCCGCTGCCAGTAATGGGCTTCTATCTCTATTTGGGTCTGTTTGGGCTGCACTTGATTGGTCCTAATTATCCTCTGGTCTATTTAGGCTGGGTCTGACTGTCCTCCATAATCAACATCAACATGTTAGCATTGTTATTTTGAGTATGTTAGCATTTAGCTCAAAGCACAACTGCGCCAAAGTACAGCCTCACAGAGCTGCTAGCTGGTTGTGGACTCTTAGCATTAGCGGATAAGGTTTGGGTAGGTTTTTCTTCATGTCCATTTTAGACCCATGAAAACCTTTATTCAGAAATAATATACAATACACAGTATTCATATGTAATACATAATAACATGAATGAGAAATATATGCAGCTGACAGTCTCTATAGCCTACACTTCATGCAAAAGCATTTCCAAGTGTCAGCGTCATTGACTCCCATTTCAAATAAAAACAAAAGGCTTAGTGTGCAGCTTTGCCTTGTGATGCTCAATCACTTCAGCTTGTGTTCGGAACTGCTCTTGAAAATAGAGAAATTACGTTTTTTCTTTGTGTCAGTGCAGTGATGTTCAGCCCAGCATGAAAACACTGTTTTTTTGAAAATTTAAGATAAATTTAGTGACAAGTGACCCCTTTGAGTTTTCACCATCAAATGTTCATAAGTACTCTGGTGTGTTTCATTGATAACTAATAGTGTTTGATAAACATAAACTAATCCTGAGTATTTAATTATGAAAATTAAATGTTGAGCGATTGCAAATGGTACCAAACAGCTCAGTACATAATTGGTATGACCTCCGTGACATTGTGTATGGAGACCCTGAAAAGTTGATTTGCCATGCTCTGCAGCCTATCAGCAAACCCTCTCAGTGTGAGGCACTCAGCTCAGAAGCCTTGATAGCTTTAGGGTGATTAGGAAAGACTGCTTGCCCTCTGCCAGCTGAATACAAATGTCTTACACCCATTTTCACCATCATACATACATTGATCCAACAGCTTTATGAAAATGACCTATGACCTTGAGAATGCTGAAACTGCCAAGACCTTCACCTCTGAACAAATGAGTACCTTGTTACGGGTCACAAGTTGCTACAGTGGAAGCTCATAAAGGGTCATGAAAGCCACACATTCTTCGAGCAGAAAATGCTCACAGGGACATGAATGGCCTGTTTGAACTCTGTGGAAAGACTGATGTCTTGCTTCATGATGAGAATACAGTATAAACCCAATATAGATGAATTCCAAATGGCTAATTCTGAAATGCTTGTGTGTAAATCTTGCCTTAGATATTTTCCATTTCTCATGTTGCAATGGCTATCACTGAAAACCCGGGCAGCACTGGAGCACTGTTTTTCCTCATTGAATGAAAAGAATAAAGTAAGAAATTCAAGAAGAGTGGCTAAGGATCACAGCTAAACTTGTTATTAAAAAAGCAATTACTTAGAATACATAATGAAAAAAAGAATGCTGAATCTGTCTCATCTGAAGCGCAAGGCCGTGGCTTTGGTTGCATATGAAGTATTTAATTGACTGATTGTTGACTAAAAGAGGCAATGGTGCAGATCTCACACACGCTTCAAAGTCACTTTATTTTTTAATGCATTGATTAATTTGTTCTAACCATTGATGGTGGTGCCCTTTGCAAGAGTTAGAAAGTCAGTAAAAAACAAAGGTATATAGGTATAGGTATAAGGTATTAATACAAGAGCCTTTAAAAATGCTTAAATGGGTATTTATGGCTACATATATGATATGGTATGAGACAAAAGCAAAAGCTGCATCTCCCTGGCAAAAAAATGTACTAATATCATTCAGTACTAGCTTTCATGCAGTGAGGAAATACCACAAAATGGATATGCTATTCATGAATATGTAGCCTGTGTAACAGTTTTGGTCCATGTACTTGGGTTGAGGCAGTCTGGAGAGTGTGGAGAAATGGAGAGGAGGCAAAAAAATCACATCCACACAAGCGCTGGGACTTCCACAATACTTGTCGTTTTTTAACTTAATACACTTCAACCTTACCATACCCGGATGGATAGCTCTATCCCATCATACATTAATAGGCATCCACTTTCATCAAGATGCACTGCTTACATAAAAAGTAAAACAAAGCGCAGACTGATGACGCAGCCTCTCTCGTATGTAGGTAACACAGCATGTCTTAGGCACATTTCACAATTTCGACTGTTACACCTGAAATCCAAGTAATAAATGTGGATAGTTGATTAATGTGCTTAATGTGTAGCATTGGAAGTGAAACTTACTTTGTCCTGTATTTAGGTGCTAAGCTAGTTAGCATGCTAAAATTTGAGGCTAATGTTACATCCAGCAAAGTCACTGTGGAAAGTCTAAAAGCAGTAGATGACACCCTCCAAACTCTTTCAATGTCAAGTATCACTCTAAGTAGCACATAAAGCACACAGCCTCAGCATCACTATTCAGAGGTTAGAGTTTAGTCCAATTAGTATAATCCATGATAAAGTCAAAAAATGATCTGAAGAAAGTATTCCATATAGCAGTCATCTAATTTTACAACTATATGATCAAATGTGAATTTCTTTGTTAGAACAGCTTCATGGTAGAAAGGGTATATTTATATATTTGTAACCACACTGCGTTCCTCTGCAAGTAATTTAGCAGCCCACATTTACAAACACAGGCTGCAGCATCAAAGCAGTCATGCTTGATTTCTCATTTAATCTCTCTCAATAGAGGCTTAATAATATAAAGTAGCACGATAATACTGAATATAGGCACCAATGGTTTCACAGCACTGGTTACAGAAAGCATGGATAAAATTTTACCGAAGCCTATTACAGGCAGATTAAAGGCTTATGCTATGCTCTTCTTGCTTTTACTGGAGAAACACGACTTACTCCTGTATAGAAATCCATTTCATGTCATCTTTCTTTATTGATTGTCACTGGAGAGATTAGTGTACCCCTATGCTCAGATAATTACATGACTGGATTGTCTGAAACCTGACACCACAAAAAAGAACATTTCAGAGGTACATGAGGAAAATTAAATGACTTTAAATAATATTTTACTTGTGTAATATTGAGTTTTTTTAATGTTAAAAATCGCGTTTTTAGTGTAACTATATCATATCTATGAAGAGTTGTTCAGATTATGGATTAAAAGAAATTTTCAGTTTTGGGAGTATTTTACTATTTCTGTTCTTAAATCAGAATCAGACAATGTCGCTGGATGCAGTTTGAAGGTATGTTCAACAGTGAGAGAATGACATTAGACTCCAACAAATGATATGGCACATTGATTTGGAAGAGTGATCCTCAATGTTACTGCTTTTGACAAGTTAATGCTTGAAGCTGCTCTCTCTTGTCACTTGTCAAGGGTTACCAAACTATAACACCACTGATGTTTCAGAACTAATGCCACGGCCCATTTAAAGTTTGACTGAAAGACAAAAAACACATAAGGTCAGAGTTTAGCCTTTACACAAAGTGGCTTAAAACTGCAGCCAGGGATGTTGCAGTTATTGCACTTGTAACCATAGAAACGCATCATAACCTATGTTACTACACCCATTATTTTGTCAGCGATTATACTAAAAGCTTCCAGGATTTTTGCAATGAGGGGTTGGTTAGAAATAGGTCTTCACTTAATGACAGCTGAAAAACCTCCTATTTTCTAAGGATTTCAGCAGCTTTTTTCAATTCCATTAAATACTAGACTGCATTTTTAAGTGGTCAGATTATACAGTTGTGCATTTAGCACCACTGAATTGATATAAAATTTGTTGTTCCGTCTCGAGT